TAATGAATGTACCCAGTACTTTGCCGAGAGAGTCATAGAGCTTGGTACTGGAGAAATCTTCAACCTCTGGCTCAGCATAAATGCCAGCGTCAGCCACTGACTCAGTGTGGAGACATTGTCAGTCATTGAATCCAGTGACTGAGATTCAGTCTAGCAGAATTTAGCTAGGAAGACCTGCCAGAGCAATGCTGGAAAGGATGTACCCCCATCCCACCAGCTTGTTCCTCCCTTTTCCTCTCACTGAGAACATTTTTAGAAGTTGCCTCTACTTAACTTTTAGAAGAAAGTATTATTTCATCTCAGATATTGATAGGCACGCTGCGCTGGTTAGTAATGTTAATTTAAAACCTAATCAAGCACAAACCTCCACAGGGATATGTGCACACTATTTATGCAAACTGTTCAGCCCACCATACGTGGGGACAATGAGTAGCTAATGAAATTGAGACCAAAAGAATCCAGTGACTTGCCAGGTCCACCCAGGGCATGAAGAATAAATAGTATTGATATTCCTTTTCTGCTATGGCCTCCTTGATTCCATTCTTATGAGCACCACAGATAAATCTTTACAAACAAATCTAAAATAGATTTATTTATGTGTGCGTGTGTGTGTGTGTGTGTGTGTGTGTGTGTGTGTGTGTGTGTGTGTGTGTGTGTGTGTGGTGTTGCACATGTGGAAGTCAGAGGACAACTGTAGGGTATCAGCTCTCTCCTGTCATTTTGTGGGAATCTGGGAATGGAACTCAGCTTGTGAGTCCTGTGTGCCCATCCCTCTGTCCAGTGAGCTACTTTGTTGTTTCAAGTTTTGCATTTTCTTTGTAAGTCAGCCACTTTCCCTCCCCTGGAAGTACTCAGGTCTCCTTCATACTCATACTGCTGGGACTGACAGCAGTCTCACAGCATCCCTGTGACATCCAGGGGCATCATTCAAGCAATAACAGTTATTAAATAAAATAATAAATCCAAGTAGGAGCCAACAGAAGCTGTGCTTGTAAACAGTAAACATTTGTGAGGCCAAGGAGGAACACCCACACAACAGTGTCTAGTACTGATAGTGTACTACATGTGAAAGACATATTGATTCCTTCCATAAAGCCACTGGGCTGAAATTTAAAATTGTCTTCATACAATTCTTTTTTCCCAGAGTTGCCAAAAAGGGATCAATGAAATGTTGTTTCAAGCCTCGGTGAGTAAATCCAGTAAGTTAAAAAGACTGTTTCATGTGAATTAATTTTTAAGCTGGCCAAAAGAGAACACATGTGTTGGCTGGCTTTTAACATCAACTTGACACAGGCTAAAGTCATTTGGGAAGAGAGAACATCAATTGAGAAAATACCCTCTACCTGACTGGCCTGTAGGCAAGCCTATAGGGGCTTATTTTAGTGGTTGAAGCGGGAGGGTCCAGCTCACTGAGGATAGGGTCATCCTGGGGTAGATGGTCCTGGAGTGTATATACAGCAAGCTGAGCGAGGTGTCAAAGGCAAACCAGTAAGCAGTGTCCCTCCATGGTACTACTTCAGTTTTTCCCTCCAAACACTGCCTCGAGTCCCTGTCTGATGTCCCTGGATGTTTAACTACAAACTGTAGGGTGAAATGAGCTCTTTCCTCCCTGTGAATCTTTGCTCATTGTGTTTTGCTTTGTGTTCCTCTTATTGAAAATGGATTTTTTTCTCACATATGTTCTGATTATGGTTTCCCCTCCCTCTGCTCCTCCCAGTTCCTCCCCACCTCCCTTTCTATCTGAGCCCACTCCCTTTCTGTCTCTCATTAGAAATAAGCAGGCTTTTAAGGGATAATAATAAAATATAACATAATGCAATAAGATACAAGATAAGAGTTGGACAAAACAAACAGAAGGAAAAGAGCTCAAGAGAAGGCACAAGAATCAGAGACCCACTCCTTCATACACTCAGAAATCCCATAGAAACACTGTATTGGGGTTCTCTAAAATAACAGAACTTATAGCTAGCTGGCTTTCAGTAGATGGCAAAATCCTGAAGAAATGAGCCCTAACACCAGTGACACTAGCAAGGTTACAGCAAACAGGAGAAGAGCAAGAACTCCCTTCTTCCATGTCCTTAGACAGGCTTCCAGCAGGTGTGGCCCAGATTAGAGGTGGATCTTCCCACCTCAGAGATCCAGACTCCCCACCAATCCAAACGAGAAATGGATCTATCTTCTACTTCAAATTAAGTAAACATCCCTCACATGTGTGCCCCTCAGTTTTTGGATTCTAGTTAATTCCAGGTGTCGTCTAGTTGACAACCAAGAACAGTCATCCCAAACACTAAGCAGGAAAATGTAAGATGTGTGCAAAGGTCGAACAAACCCATGCGTGTTGCCTCAGTCTCTGTGAGTTCCTAGTTCATAGATGTTTTTACCACAGCAACAGACACCCTAAGGCAGCACATATTTATGGAGGACCACATTATGTTTAGAGACATGCAAATATCAAGTAATAAACACATCTCTCTCCTCAAACATTCACCCTTTCTTTATCGTGAAATCCCCAGGCTCCTTCCTCTCCACTTTGGACATAGTTTGCTGGTCAAGAGCACTGAAGAACTTTTCTTTTCTCTCACTGTGACTTGGTGCCCATTGACTAACCTTTCTCAGTACTCTAAAGGTTGCTTTGGATTCTTAACGTTTTCCCCATCACTGGCTTAATTGCAGGTGGCAATTGTCCTGTTACAATTGCACTTATCTCTCTTATAATGAGGAGACGATAATGAGAAAAATGCATTAATGCATAACAAGGCTTGGAATGTATCATAAAGTATTAGCTGATAATTTCCCTTTCCTGGTAATAGAGTTAGAGATGGTTTCCCATCTATTTAAGAAATAGGCTGCATTAGTCTCAAGGCCCTATGTCTCAATATTCCATAATTTACATAGATCCAAGTAGTAAGCTAAGCTGCTGCTAAGTTGCCTGCTGAAGCCATTACTTTTTTTGATGACTGAAAATAATAGATAATAAATAAGAATAATTAAATGCCTGTTTTAAAGGGTCAGTAGTGTAAGGAAATGGTTAATTATACTGACAGTATAATAAAAAAGTTGAAGAGAGTGTTGTGGGTTTTTAAATTTTTTTTTGGTAACAAAACTCAGTAAAAGCTAGCCAAGCCGGGAGATTTACTAATTTATAGCAATTAAGTAGTTAATTAGAAGTCTATAATTATCTTTGCCACTTCATTAAGAACTCTGTGCAGATTTCCTAATGTAACTTGTTAGAAACCTTACTTATCTTGGATATTAGAGTTTTATGAAGAAACAGCCTTCAGTGTGTTAAAATTACTGTCTCATTAAAACTTTGCTTCTCCATCCACAGAAGAACACATCAATTCCTGTGAGTGTAATAGTTCTGGGTCTGCTGGTGAAGTGAGACTGGGGCTCAGAGGATGGACCCTACCCTTAATCGGTAAGGCGGAGGAGGGTGGCTGGTGAAGATCATCTGTGGTCTACCTGCTGATGCTGGCATCTGTTCTCACCGTTTGAGCACTGTTTTTTATTGATCGGCATATACACCATGATATCGTGCATGTTTGTCTGTTAGTTTTGCTGGCTTCACGCCATCTGGAGTCATCTGAGGAAAATGAGCCTCAACTGAGAAAATGCCTCCACCATCCGATGGGCCTATAAGCAAGCCTTCGGGAGCAGTCTCTTGACTGATAATGGATGTGGAAGGGCCCAGTCCATCATGAGTGGTGCCACTCCTGAGATGGAGGTCCTGGGGTGTATAAGAAAACGGTCTGAGAGAGTACATGCCATGTTTCTCTTTTTGTGACTGGGTTACCTCACTCAGGATGGTTTCCTTCTAGTGTCATCCATTTGCCTGCAAATCTCAGGATTCCATTGTTTTTTTCTGCTGAATAGTACTCCATTGTGTAAATGTACCACATTTTCTCTATCCTCTCTTCGGTTGACGGGCATCTAGGTTGCTTCCAAGTTCTGGCTATTACAAATAATGCTGCTATGAACATAGTGGAACAGACATCCTTGTTGTATGAATGGGCATCTTTTGGATATATGCCTAAGAGTGGAATTGCTGGGTCTTGTGGTAGGTTTATTCCCATTTTTCTGAGGAATCTCCATACTGATTTCCAAAGTGGCTGAACAAGTTGGCACTCCCACCAGCAATGGAGGGGTGTTCCCCTTTTAACACATCCTCTCCAGCAGAAATTGTTGTTAGTGTTTAGACATGGATCTGGGGAGTGCCAGCCTACAATCCCATGGACAGGGAGTCTGGGAAACAGAAACTTCATTCCGTGGCTGATGGAAGAATAGGCAGACTCCCACGGCTAAGCACTGAGCTGAACTCAAGAAAGCCAGTAACAGAGTGAGGACTGATGACCAAAGGGATTAAGACTGGGCTGGTTTAACCCCCAGAAACAACTGACATGACAAGGGTTAACTCTTGAATCCCAGGCTAATGCCTGGGAATCCAGCATGGGACTGATCAAGACCCCCTGAATGTGGGTGTCAGTGAGGAGGCCTAGGTAATCTATTGAGCCTTGGGCAGTAGATCAGTATTCATCCCGAGTATACACATGGACTTTGGACTCCCATCCAACAATGTGAGATGCACTCTCACCCTGAACTCTTGGGGGAGGGTCTAGGCCCTGCCCTATATGAAATGACAGACTATGGACACCCCCATGGAGGGCCTCACCCTCCCTGGGGAAATGAGGGGATATTGGGGGGGTTGGGGGGAAAGCACGGGAGGAGGGGAGGGAAAGGGAGAGGGACCTGGAACTGATTTGTGAAGCAACCTTGTTTCTAATCTAAATCTAAACTTAAAAATAAATAATAAAATTTTTTTAAATTAAAAAAAAAAAAGAAAACAATCTGGGCTAGACATTCTCGTCTAGAATCGCTGCAGTTTCCTGCTTCAGCAGTGCTTGAATTGGAACCCGCGCTCGACCCCTCTGACCCCAGACTGTGGCTCCAGGACAGAACCCTCTGCAACCTCGTTGTTCCACTGCTCCAGCGTTGCCACTGAGCCCGCCATGACCACCCCAGCCCTGACCACCGCGTCTCCCTTGCAAGTGCCCAGAGCTATGTCTCCCTCGCAAGTGCCCAGAGCTACCGCCAAGACTCCGGGGCTGCCATCAACCCCCAGATCAGCCTGGAACTGTACAGGTTCCTACGTCTGTCTATGTCTTGCTTCTTTCACCGGGATGACGTGGCTCTGAGGAACTTTACCAAATACTTTCTCCACCAAACTCATGAGTAGAGGGAGCACGCTGAGAAACTGAGGAAGCTGCAGAACCAACGAGGAGGTGGCCGGATCTTCCTGCAGGATATCAAGAAACCAGACCGTGATGACTGGGAGAGCGGGCTGAACGCAATGGCGTGTGCACTGCCCTTGGAAAAGAGTGTGAATCAGTCACTACTGGAACTGCACAAACTGGCTACTGACAAAAATGACCCCCGCCCCGTGTCATTTCATTGATTCGCATTGCCTGAATGGGCAGGTGAAATCAATCAAAGAACTCGGTGATCACGTGACTAGCTTGCGCAAGGCGAGAGCCCCTGAAACAGGCATGGCAGAATATCTCTTTGACAATCAATCCCTGGGACACAGTGATGAGAGCTAAACTGACTTCCCGGAAGCCACCAGTGACGTCACTGGTCACTGAGGAAGTGCATGCAAGTCGGGCGGCCGTTATAAATCGCACCAAAACATCTAATTGAGTTCTTTAATTTGTACTGATTCTTCAAATAAAGAATTTTGGTACTACAACAACAAAAATAAATAAATGCGAATAAAAAAGTCTGGAGGAACAAGACTGTGAGCAGCATTTCTCCAAGACCTCTGCTTCAGTTCCTGCCTCGTGGATTCTTGTTTGAGTTCCCACTTCAGTGATGGACTGTGATGTAGAAGGTTACACTCTTTCCACCCCAAGTCATTTTCACAATAGCAAACAAACTAATACAGCTAGTTTTGTAACTTTGAATTCTACAAAATGTTGACATGGCGGGGGGGGGATGGCAGGGAATCAAATCTGTGAGAAGATTAAAAAAAAAAAGCAAATCATCTCTACACTGTCAACGACTTTGGGGCCTCTAAGTTATAGCTCACTGAAACAACCTAGATGAATCTCCAGAGAAGAAATCTAAATACAAATCGGTAGTATATTTCCAGGTGCCTGGATTCTCTGTGTTTTCAGTAGGTAACCCAGGTGATTATCATCAATAGCGTCCACTAACCTCACAAGGCTGTGAACAAATGAAAAACATCCCAGCTTCACGCGGTGATGTTTGGAGGATGAACTTATGAAGGGTGCTTTCAATCCCTTAACTCAGCTCTGGAGTATAGCATGCACCATGTTAAGCATTTACTCTATTTCTTAAACTGATTATGGCCTGTATTTTATTGTGGAGGCTTTGCCACTGAGTGAATATTTTTAGTCAAACTATTGTAGTTGGATATTTATGTCCTGTCAATTTTCTTTGCAATTGAAACCAACCATCAATATTTGTTTGTATAGCAATGTTCCTTCATTAGAGAATTATTACTCACCTGAGTTTTTCCAAGTGCAATGGCTACATTCAACTGTGCAGTGTTATGCAAACCCTTTATAAAGAGTGCATACATAACACACAATAATAACAATAATAATAATTGAATGAACTACCAAGAGCACTTTCAGATCTGTGTTGGACACGTCTTCTTCTGACAATTGTTTCTTTGGTCCTTGGCCTGCTTTTTTAAAATTCAACATATTTGCTCTCTTGCTATTGAGTTATTGAGTTCTTCAGACACTTTTCATATTAGCTGATACATAACTTGGGAATATTTCCTTTGTCCTATGAGTTGCTCATCCTTCTGTTGTTTGTTAGCTCATTTGCCTATTTTTCTTTTCTTTCCTAAACTTCCAGGATCCAATCTAAACAGTCACTATCCAGATCAACATCATACAAGTTTTCTTCTAGTTTTACCTTTTCAGTCTTTACATTTAAGACTCCAATCCATCTTGAATTTATTTTATTAGTGAAATCATCTGAAAAGAGGACCTATTTTTAAGTTTAAGAAATTAAAAGAAAGATTATATTGTGTTCATAAGTGCTTGATAAACATGGAGGGTATGCATGCAATGAATGTGGAGGTCACAGGACAACTGTGTGGAGTCTGTTGTCTCCTGCCACCTTTACCTGTGTGGCCAGGGAAGGATCTCAGGTCACTTTGATCTACTGAGTCATCTCAACAGCCCAGGGCCTGCTCTTAATCTTCTGCTGTGTGTATTTATTTTCCCACAACTGTATTGACAGGATTGTTCAGTTCCCATGGTTTGTTCTTAATTCCTTTGCTGAAAATCAACTATTCACAAATAAGTGTTTATTTCTGGGCATTTTATCCTATCGTATGGATCAACATATCTTATTCTAGGACTGTGTTGTCTTGCTAACTACAGTTTATAGTGCATACCTTTAAAAATCACAAAGTAGAGCCGGGCATTGGTGGCGCACGCCTTTAATCCCAGCACTCGGGAGGCAGAGGCAGGCGGATCTCTGTGAGTTCGAGACCAGCCTGGTCTACAGAGTGAGTTCCAGGACAGCCTCCAAAGCCATAGAGAAACCCTGTCTCGAAAAACCAAAAAAAAATCACAAAGTAGGATGTCACCAGTGTTTTCATTCAAGATCTTTGACTTTTCAAATTCTATTATTTTTCTATATGATTTTTAGAATTTCTTTCCAGTTTTTATTAAAAAATGGCATTCCAATTGTGTCAGGAATTCCACTAAATCTACAAATACTTGTGTACAGGGGCATTTTAGCATATTAATTCTAATCTACAAACATTAATTTATTTTCACTTATTTATGTCAGCATCTTCAATTTCTTTCAGAAATTTTTATAGTTTTAAGTTATAATCTTTTACCTACTGATTAAATTCAGTCCAAAGTACTTTTGTAGCTATTGTAAATGTGGTTGTTTTATTGATTTCTTTTTCCAATATTTCATTGTTAAATTGTAAAAACACCACTGATTGCTGTATTGATTTTTGTACCCTGCAACTTTACTGAATTTGCTTACCAGTACTAACATGTTTTTGATGAAGTCTTTAGGGTTTTCTATATATGAGATCATTAATCATTTAGATAATGCAAGGTGGGACTACAATGAGATAACAACTCACTTCTGTTAAAATGACTATTTTTTTAAAGGTGTTAACAAGTGTGGTGAACAAATAGATCTGTTCTACAGAGTTGTGAGAAGGATAGTACATTCATTATGAAAACTGTATGGAAGTTCCTTAAAATATAAACATCTAGGGACTGGAAGATGTTTCAGCAGTTTAGGCACTGGCTGTTTTTCCATAAGACACAGGTTCAATTCTCAGCACACACACATGGCAGCCCATAAGCATCTATGACTTCAGTTACAGAAAATCTGATGCCTTCTGGCTTATGCATGCACTAGGCACTCAAGTGATGCACAGACAGACATGCAGATAAACACCCATATGTATTAAATATGTGATTTTTAGATAACAACTAAAAATAGAACTGCTCTACGTTTCAGCAACCCCACTTCTGGGCGGCTGTCAGAGGCAATGGAATTAATACAGGGAAGAGATTCCAAATCCCACATTCCCTGCAGAATTGTTACTGTAGCATGGAACAACTGTGTCCATCTATGAAAGACTGCATGGATGAAGATACTCAGTGCTCATACAAATATTGCCCAGGTACCCTAATATGGATGGACTAGGACATTATGCTTAATGGGAGAAGACAGAGCAACTGTACTATCTCAGTTGTACCTGGAATCTTAAAACAGACTCAAACAATGAGGTAATAGGGTTCGGGTGTTGTCCAACTGGTATAGTGTTTGCCTACCATGTATGAGGCCCTAGGTTCTATCCACAGCACCATACAAACCAGGTATGGAGCATGCCTAGGATCCCAGCACTAGGAAGTGGAGGCAAGAGGATGAGAAGTTCAGGGCAGCCTGGCTTGCATGAGGTCCTGTCTCAAAAATAAATAACTAAATGAATAAATAAGAAGCAGCAAAATGATGATAACTAGAGGCAAGAGACAAGAGCAGAGATTTAATCAAGATAAAATGGTACCGATCTAAACGAATGATACAACATTTCAGTTATATTTGAAGAGAAAGATTTTGCTACCTTTATTTATTTTCAATTTTATGTGTATGATATTTTCTTCCATGTGTGCTTGTGCACCAGGTAGGTGCCTGTTTGATTCCCTGGAACTGGGGTTACAGATGGTTACAAGCCACCATGTGGGTGCTGGGAATCAAACCCCAGTCCTCTGCAAGAGCGGTAAGTGCTCTTAAGGATTGAGTCATCTCTACAGCCCCTGAAAAAAACAATTTGACTCTAGTTAAAAACAAAATATCATATAGCTCAAAATGATTAAGAGAATTTCTTTACAAAAACTAGCAAGTATCAGAGGGAGGTGAATATGCTAATTAACTCAATTTAATCATCCCTTGTTATCTCTGTACATCAAAGCATCACAATGTACCCCATAAAATGCTATTGAAATGTGCCGATTACAATTTTTTAAAATTAAAATTGAGGTAACGAAATCTTAGATGCATTTAGATATCTTAAGATTTTGCAAAAAGAGAAACACTAGAAAGAGGTAGAGCTATCATCTTACATGTATACATTATTTAATTTGGAATACTGAATTAAATGTAATATCTTAATAGTTTCAGGAAATAAAAATCTAAGTAAGTAATATATGGGGTACTTTCTGTGTGTCAGTCACTATGTCCTACATTCTTTATGTTACTCAATTATATTGTCACAGTTTGAATGTAATCGGCCCGCAAAGCTCATAGGGAATGACACTATTAGGAGGTGTGGCCTCATTGGAGGAAATGTGTCACTACAGGGGCAGGCTTTGAAGTTCTCCTTTGCTCAAGCTATCATCAGTTGTGGAAGGTAGTTCACTTCCTGTTGCCTTTGGATCAAGATGTAGAATTCTCAGTTCCTTCTCCAGCTCTATGTATGCTGCCATCTTCCACCATGATGATAAAGGACTAAATTTCTGAAATGGTAAGCCACCACAATTAAATATTTTCCTTTATAAGAGTTGCCATGGTCATGATGTCTCTTCACAGAAATAGAATCCTTAAGACAAAAGTTGGTACCAGGAACTGGGGTATTGCTGTAATAGGCCTGACCATGCTTTTGTTTGAAGGAACATGGCCTTGGGGCTGTGAATTAGAAAGGCAGTTGAACACGTTTAAGTGCTGCTTAATGAACCATACTAGAAGGGGCATGGAAGACAGTGGTGCCGAAGGTGATTTGATGAACTGTGGGGGCCTGGCTCAAGAGGTTTCAGAGGTGAAGAACATTAGTGTGTGACCTAGAGATCATTCTCTGTGATATTCTGGTGACGAATGTGGCTGCTTTTTGCCCTTGCCCAAAAAGTCTCCCTGTGGCTATACTGAAGAGTTTTAGATTAATTACATCGGCTAAGGAAATCTCAAAACAGCCTAGTATGGACTCTGTCTTGTGGTTACTAGTGTTAACTCTAATGAAGATTTATAATGAAAAGGAGCAAGCTGAACATAGAACAATACAAAATGTACTATTGAAGAGAAAAGGAGCACCAGG